CCCGGAGCCGCTGCGCCCGCCCGCGCTCCTCCTCGCCAGGCGGCGCGGACGAGGCGAGCCCGGGACTCTGGCGCTGCGTGGCCATCGGCACACCCCTCCGTGCTTTTCCAAAACCCAGAGTACGCGCCGAAACCCAGACTCGGAGTTCCCAAGGTCACCGAGTCGGAGCTGCCATTTACCAATGTCTGCTCTTTTATTTGAGTGTTTGTAAATGGGCCACTGTTCCCTCTGTTCTCCCAGGGAATTAGGATTCAGAGGGGAGGACGCTAAAAATACTAATCGGCGTATCCAAACGAGCCGATCCGCATTACTGGCCAGTGACCCTGGCCTGCAAAAGGGAATAAGCGAGGACAGCTCTTTTCACTCTGGGTACTTTGTATTTCTAGCCCTTGCTCTGAAAATTGGCCTCGATGTTTTGCAAAATTGACCTCAGAACTGGACCAGGCTACAGAGTTCTTCCATCCCTTTTTCTTACCTCCCTTTTCTTTCCTCTTTCCTTTTTATTAATTTTTCTTTTCTTTTCTTTTTTTAACAGAGGCTCTCGAGGTTAAAAGTGATTTGCACCCCAGTCTCCTTAGGGGCAGAGCCAGAATTGAAACTTAGGCCTATGGTGGACACCCACTGTTTTCTTGAACCTGATTTCTTGAAATCTGGTTTCGGATGAAAGCTGTACAGAACTTGACCTTCCTAAAGCCCTCTCTGGATAGCATTCTTAGGAGTGGCCTGTGTGTTGAAGTGTGTGGGTCCACGGATACCATTTCATTTGTCAGAATGGGGTTAAGCAATACGTGTAGCCATGCAGATGCTGAGATGAGACAGATACCTGAAATGTTTTTGATATTTCTATTTGTACTTCCAGTAGAGGAGCTAATGGCTTGGCCGTTTTCAATTTTAGCTCTTTATAACTAAATTGACTCAGTTATCGCTGTTCTTCTCAGTAACTTCCCAAGTGTAGCTCTTTGACTTCACTTCATTTTTAACTGGATAATTGTCTTAAAGTTATTTTTTATATCTCAACAGAAAGTCCCATCTTGCACCTCAAAGTCCTGTTTTCCCTTTGGTAAATTTTTGAACTGAATTTCTTTCTTTCTTTCCTTTTTTTTTTTTTTGTTGTTAGATTTTTGCCTTAGGGCATGTATGCTTGCTGGACCGGAGATAGTGAGAAGTAAAGTGAGCAATGACCCCCCAAGGAGGATGGCCACGCCTCAATTCCTTCTCCTCCATTCTCTTCTCAGGATTCTGGGCATGCACACACATGTGCCCAGTGTGAGTTTCAAGCCACCGGATCTGAGACTCAAACCATTGTCAGCCATGTGGGAGTCCAGTGCCTTAACTGCCATGCCACATGCTGGTCCCCAAACTGGACTTCATAACTGAATAGAATTAGAATTCCATTTTCACCTCCTAGGTTATCTGAACTCTTTGTTGAATTATATATTTAGATCACCACCCCCCCTTTTTTTTTTAAGAAGTAAGCTTTTATTTTTCTAAGAGGTTTTTGCCATAGGGCGTGTGTGCTCCGTGGGGAGAGACAGAGATGGTGAGAGAGAAATTGAGAAATCACCACCCAAGGGGGGATGGCCATGCAGCAATCCCTTTTCCGCTTTTCTCCTCCTGGGATCTTGGGCATGCTCATACAGGAGCCCGGTGTGAGTTTCAAGCCACTGGGTATGGGACTCGAACTTGAGGTCGGCCATGTAGGAGTCCAGTGGCATAACTGCTATGCCATCTGCTAGCCCCAAGTGAGCTTTTTTTTTTTTTTCTTTTTCTTTTGGAGAGGTTTTCGCTCTAGAGTGCGTGCGCTTGCCAGACAGACAGAGACAGACAAAGAGATAGAAAGTGAGAAATCACCCCCCAGGGGGGATGGCCATGCCGCAGTCCCTTCTCCTCCATTCTCCTCTTGAGATCTTGGGCACGCACGCACAGGCACCCCGCGTGAGTTTTAAGTCACTGGGACCGGGACTCGAACCGCGATCGACTACATAGGAGTCCAGCAATATAGCCATTATGCTAACTGCTGGTCCCCAAGTAAGCATTTTTTTAAAGTTTATTTCTTCCATGAGCCAGAGAGAGAGAGAGAGAGAGAGAGAGAGAGCCTTCAGCAGGTTTTGCTGCGGCTCACCCCAGCACTGTGAGGATCGTAGGCACCCATGTACCCAGCGTACTTGAGGCTTTCACTTTCGAAACGGGGGCCCTATGTGAGTCAGACGTGTGGGCATCCCAGTCTACCTCTGCACCACCACCTGGCCCCCAAGTTTTGATTTTGACTGATAAACCCGTGACCTAAATTTAAACCTCAGCTGAATTTAGCATCCGCTTAAAACCACATGAAACTGCCGTGAGTCATGTGACCACTAGCGGAAACCAAAGTGGTCGTGCTCTGTGTTTTCCCTGAGAGGTTCTTATGGCAGTTTTAGAAATGTGAAGACATTCTCTAACACGCGAGCTTTGTTATCCCCATGTGGTCTTCAGTCGGCCTGCGGAGGGTGGTCATTGATGTTCGTGCATCTCGACATGGTGTTAGACACACATAGAACGCTGCTCCTGTCTGCAGTTCCAGGTCTTGCCAGGTGACCACGAGTCCTCTCTAAGGAACATGGCGTAAAGGGAGTAGCCAGGAGATGCCTGGCGGTGTGGCTAGGGAAGCAATGTTTCCGCGAAGGCGTTTGTCCTGTTCTGCAGCAGGCGTGAGGGCACGTGCACAGAGCGACCCGGTGCTGTTTTCTTAGGGTGCGTCTTGCGTGTTTCTGGCACGGGCCTTCTCGCCGCAGGATGGCCTCAGCTCTGTGTCTGCGGGTGCTGGGCAGCCTGTGTGGCTGGCTGTCGCTCTACGTCTCCTTCTGCCACCTGAACAAGCACCGAAGCTACGAGTGGAGCTGCCGGCTGGTTACCTTCACCCACGGGGTCCTCTCCATAGGCCTCTCGGCTTACATTGGCTTCATTGATGGCCCTTGGCCTTTTACCCACCCAGGTAGGCAGGGGATGCTCCCTTAGGGGTTGATGACTTGGGGGAGTCTTAGGCGGATGGGGCTTTCGAATGCAATTTGTACGATTCTGAAGAATATTGGAGACTCATTCTAATTTGTTTTGGAGTCTCCATTCATCTTCATTGCTAACTCTGATATTGTTAGGTCACCTATTGTTTCCACTTTTCATAACTCTATTTTTTTTTTAAGGTTTTTGCCATAGGGTGTGTGTGTGTGCTGGAGAGAGAGAGAGAGAGAGAGAGGTTTGAAAGTGAGAAAGCGCCCCTGTGGGGATGGCCACACCACAATCCCTTCTCCTCCACTCTTCTCTTGGGATTTTGGGCACAGACGCACACGTATCCAGGGACCAGCAATTGGCGTAATGGCTATGTCGCTGGACTCCCATGTAGCTGACCGCAGTTTGAATCCTGGACCTGGTGGCTTAAACTCATGCCAGGTGTGTGTGTGTGAGTGCCCAAGATCCTGAGAGGAGAATGGAGGAGAAGGGATTGTGGTGTGACTATCTCCGCCCACCCCCACCCCACCCCCGCTCCCCGGGGGGTGATTTCTCGCTTTCTGTCTCTCTGTCTCTGTCTTTCTGGCAAGCACACATGCCCTATAGCAAAAACCTCTTCAAAGAGAGAGAGAGAGAGAGAGAGAGAGAGAGAGAGAAACCACCACCAGAGGTAATGGCCGTGCCGCAATCTCTTCTTCATTCTCCTCTCAGGATTTTGGGCATGCACACACATGTGCCCAGTGTTCTTTTTCAAGCCGCTGGGTCTAGGACTTGTACCGTGCAGTCAGCTGTGTGGGATCCAGCTGCCTTAACCACCATGCCACCTGCTGGCCCCTTAATTACCCTTTTGGAAGGTTCTATCTCCCGCTTGGTCATATGCTAAGGTACTAGGCATTCAGACTTCAACACAAGAATCTTAGGGGACCTAATTGGGTCCCTAACTTTCTTGAAATATGATTTTTAAAAATTCCTTAGATTCTTTTCTGTTAATTTCCAGATTCTCATATTGAGCTCCTAGGTTTTCCCTAATACTGTCTGAATGAGATCAATGCAGTTCTTTTTTTCAGAATTAGGTATTTAATTTGATTTATTATCCTCATTACTTTTTAATTTGCTATAGGGCATGCGTGCTCACCAGAGAGAGAGGGAGGAATAGTGAGAAAGCCAGCTGCAGGGTCTACGACTTGAATTGCAGTCAGCAGCATGGGAGTCCAGTGTCTTAACCACCATGTTACCTGCCGACGCTGAAAGCAGCTCCTAAGCTCTGTGTTTTTTATGAAGGTCTGAAATGGTTTCAGACATGTCAGGGTTTCTGGACATGGGAGCTCTTCAGTTTTGGGATTCTCTCCAGAGTACTTCCAAAATGGGTTAGGGCCACCAGTGTTCAAAAGCCTAACCTATGATCTAGGAAATTAATCTGACGTTCAGGACGGAATGAATCAAGAGTCCGGAAACATATCTTTAGTTGGTTAAGAACACGTGTTTAGGAAAGATTGGGATTTTAATGGAAAGAAGTACCTAACTGCATTTCGTGTTGTCCTGAAGAGAGGACACTGAGGTTATTACCTGGGCTCAAATACCCCTTAAAGTCTGATTCCTCAGAACAGCACTTCCTAGGGCCAGAACATCGCTGATTTTGATAAAGACAAAACATTTTAGTCTTTATTTGATTATCACTAAAAAGCACGTACCTGCCCCTGTTTCTGTCCTCTTCAGGGATAAATAAGGGTTAGAACACAACATAGAGGGCTGGCAGGTGGTATGGTGGTTAAAGGCATTGGATTCCCACATGGCCAACTGCAGTTCGAGTCCTGGACCTGGTGGCTTGCTTTCTCACTTTTTCCCTCTCTTACTCTGTCCCTCTCTGGTCAAATTTAAATAAACAAATGAATAGATAAATACAGTTAAATAAAATAATTCTTAAAAAAAAAAAAAGAACACAACATAGGATCCCTTGCAAAAAAAAAAACAAAAAACAAAAAACAAAAAACAAAACAAAGAAGAACACAACATAGGATCCCTTGCAAAGCGGGGCATCCCCAGTTACTCAGTTGCTCTGTCTTGGTGTATTTCAGGCTCGCCCAATACACCACTGCAGGTCCACGTGCTCTGTCTCACCCTGGGCTACTTCATCTTCGACTTGGGCTGGTGCATCTACTTCCAGTCTGAGGGCGCCCTCATGCTGGCTCACCACACCCTGAGTATCTTGGGCATCATCATGGCCCTGGCGCTCGGGGAGTCCGGTGCAGAGGTCAACGCCGTCCTCTTCGGAAGCGAGATCACCAACCCCTTGCTGCAGATGCGCTGGTTTCTCCGCGAAACGGGCCGCTACCACAGTTTCACCGGAGACGTGGTGGACTTCCTCTTTGTGGCTCTGTTCACTGGAGTAAGGATTGGCGTCGGAGCGCGCCTCCTTTTCTGTGAAATGGTCTCGCCCACGCCCAAGTGGTTCGTGAAGGCGGGGGGTGTAGCCATGTACGCTGTGTCGTGGTGTTTTATGGTTAGCATCTGGCGCTTTGCATGGAAGAAAAGCATCAAGAAGTACCATGCCTGGAGGAGCAGGCGGAGCGAGGAACGGCAGGGCAAACAGAATGGGCATCTCAAGACGCACTAGCCAAGGCTTGCGGCCGATAACGGATTGGGTTAAGTCAACCATGGAGCCAGGTGGGAAATACAGCTGCTCTGGAATCACACTTAGAACAAACTTAGGTTTCAAAAAAGGGCTAAATTTATTGATCAGTTTGGTCAGTCTTCAAGCCATGCATACGCCAGTATTAAAACCCCAACTTCTACTGTGACACGGTTCTAGAAGGTGAGAATACTCAGTGGTCATTGGAATAAGTCCGAACTGGGAGGCCAGCCTCACTGGCTTTCATTTTAGTTTGTCATGACCCCAGCTCCTCTTGTCCCTCGGAGGCTCGATGTCCAGATTGCTTAGAAAGGAACTTGAGAAAGGTGACTATTTCTTACTCCTTTGAGAAGCAGCTCTTCCAGCCAAGAGTTATTCCTGCACCCCATGCAGTAATTAATGGATATGCACTCACCCCATTTACTATGAAGTGAGGGACTTTCAGGAAGAGAGACACCTTTGGCATTCTGAGCATTGGACCTGGGTATTGGATCCGCTTACATAAAGAGGGACAGAGGGGGGCCCAGCAGCTGGTGTAATGGCTATGTCGCTGGACTCCCATGTAGCCGACTGCAGTTCGAGTCCAGGACCCAGTGGCTTAAACTCACGCCTGGCGCGTGTGCGTGCGTGCCCAGGATCCCGAGAGAAGAATAGAGGAGAAGGGATTGCAGCATGACCATCTCCCCTGGGGGGTGATTTCTCGCTTTCTGTCTCTCTGTCTTTCTGGAGAGCACACAGTGCCGTATAGCAAACAAACAAACAAACAAAAACAAACAAACAAAAACCTCTCCAAAAAAAGAAAAGAGAAGAGTGACAGAGGACGGGAGCAGAACTGACAGTGGCTGGTGGTTACTTAGCGATCCTCACGATCGACATGTCAGAGGTTCCTCCAAAGTGCACCCAGTTTCCCCAGTTCACTTGAACTCGAAGAACTCAACGTGTAGCCTTAACATAGCTTTGATTTATGACAGTGAAAGGGCACGAAACAAAACCAGCAAAGGGAAAAGGCATCTGGGACAAATTCCAAGGGAAACGGACATGAGCTTCCAAAGTCCCTTTCCAGTGGGCACAGAGGAGGTGCTCAGTTCCTGAAGCAGTGATTTGTGACAAGATGACAAGTGTAGTCTGTCGGGGAAAGTCATTAAAGACTTGGTGCCCGAGGTTTTTACTGGGGACAGGCCATGTACCAGGCTATCTAGCCTCGGCCTGGCACGTCACAAAATGCAAGACTCCCAAGAGGCAAGCATGTGTTCAGCATAAAATGTATTGTTGGCACACAGTTTAGGCACAGCAAGCCAGTCTTTAGCAGGTCCCGGTGGGGGCCCTCCCCAGATCCCAGTTATCAGGTGCCGGCTAAGAGCCAGCCTGCCAAGGAGACCTTTCTAAGCATAGCAGTTCCGGCCTGCCATGTTAACTCTTATCTGCACAGAACCCGTAGAGCTAGGGCTTTGGATATGCAATGAACGAGGTGTGGGCAGATTTGCCGAGTCCTGTTGTACGGGTCCTGCCCTACCAGGAAAACCGTGCCAGTTCTCAAGGTTTTTGTGCATTAATCTCCTAGGCATGAGAGGTTATGACTAAATTCCATAGGGATTTACATGTGGATTCCACTGTGTGTGAGATGGCAGTTCGGGTTTCAGCTCTGCTGTACACATTGCAAACTAGAACCAAAGACTGGAAAAGTATGTACCGGCCTCAAAGAGGAGGCTATTTCTTTCTCTTTTATTTCAGATACTGTTTTAGTACTCTTATAGTTTTTTTCTTTCTCTTAAAAAAATGCTACTCTCTATGGACAGACTCATATGACAAAGTCAGTCTTGGAAGGAGAAATCCTATTTCTTAGTGCAACAGTCTCTTAGCTCACATAGGAGAAGCAAGACTATAACCTTAGAACAAAGGGTTAAGAATCAAGAATTCCTTGGGGTCAGCAGGTGGTATAATGGTTAAGGCGCTGGACTCCCATATGGCTGATGGCAGTTCGAGTCACAGGCCCAGCGGCTTGAAACTCATGCCAGGCATGTGAGCACGCATGCCTAAGATCCCGAGGAGAATGAAGAAGGGACTATGGCATGGTCATCTTCCCTGGGGTGTGATTTCTCACTTTCTCTCTGTCCCTCTGGCAAGCACACATGCCCTGCAGCAAAAATCTCTTTAAAAATAAAAAAAGAATTCCTGGGTTCTTTCATTTTGGAACTCACTAGCCAGATTATTTGGGCAGGCCACTTGTTTGTGCTTTGTCTCAGGGGTTTTTTTTTAATTATTTAATTTTTAAAAAATTTATTTATTCATTCATTTAGTTTAATTTGACCAGAGAGAGACAGAAAGGGAGATGGAAAGTGAGACAGCAAGCCACCAGGTCCGGGACTTGAACCATGGTCAGCTATGGGCGAGTGTCCAGCACATTAACCACCACGCCACCCGCTGGTCCCTTTGCCTCAGTTTAAACTGAGAAACCCTGTTGTATATTTCATGGAGATAAGACATGGCTTTTACTAATGGAGGTCTTTACTGTAGGGTTTTTATGGGGGAAAAAATAAGTATTATTTATGATGTATTTATTGTTTATTTATTATGACCATGTTATTTAGATCGGTGCTGATGGATTAGCTCTGTTGGTGAGCAAGAGGACCGTGCTATTGAAGTCCAGGCTTAGGTCAGTCATCAGTGTCAGTCTGGTCTATGGTTACTGGTACTGCTAGCTAATGAGCTGTCTTGAGATGGGTTGCTATTGGCCACTAAAACTCAGCGTGAGAGAGTAGTTGGAGCTGCATAAAGAGGCCACTGCTAGGGGAAAAGCACCTTTCAAGGCATGTTACCAGTGGTTCTTTTAAAATGACTGTCATTTGGTTAAAGAATTTTGCTGGGCAGTGACATAATTTAAGAGATAGCATCTCTACTTTTTTTCCTTCCTTCCTTCCTTCCTTCCTTCCTTCCTTCCTTCCTTCCTTCCTTTCTTCCTTTCTCTCTCTCTCTCTTTCTTTCTTTCTTTCTTTCTTTCTTTCTTTCTTTCTTTCTTTCTTTCTTTCTTTCTTCTTTCTTTCTTTCTATGATTAGTATCCCTAAAATGCTGGCGAGCTTCTTTCCAAAATGATGATCAAAATAGGATGCGGGGGAATGCTGATTTTAGCAAAAGCCTAATAGAAAAAACTTGACTCTGAGCTTAAAAAAAAAAAAAAAAGAAAAAGCTGGCTTTTGAATTTTGGCACAGTGCAACCTGTCCCATACCAGACAAGTGACTCTGCTTACTCGGGTACCAGTACTTTTGTCCTTACCACTCAGAAGTGATGGCATTGCAGATCTTGCTGTCTGGGGCACTCTCGTGGGAATATATTATGTAGGTGTTTTTGCCTGTTTATGATCAGAAACCTGAATAATGGTTAAGGGGAAGAGAACTCTCCTTTCAGCTTTTCTTGATGTCGTAGCTAATAACTGTGAAGACACCTCTCGGAGGGAGAGGCTTGAAATGTGAGGACTCAGCAGTCCAGATGCTGAGTTTTACACCACAGTTAAATGAAGTGCTATTAAGTGAATGTGTGGTATGGTGGGACAACATGAAGCACTCATTTGCATTTGGATTACTATGTAATAACTAACGCTGCTCAAGAAGTATTTATATTTCAAGAAGATTTGTACTAAATTTTATAAAAATAAAACTTTTTATAAATCCGAAGTCTATTTTGATACCTTTGTTGTGGCTTTGCCAAGAAGTTAGGGGAAAAAAAAAAAAGGTCTTCCGTCCTGTAGAAATGTTGATCCTTATTCACACTAGCGAAATATTCTCTAATCTGCTATTTATCATTCATCATTGCTTTTTCATTTTTTTTCTTTAATTTAGGGGGTAACAGCAAACAGCACACAATTCGTCAAAAGGGACAGGAAGAACTTAATTCTTCCGTGCTCTGCCATCTGTTTGAGCAGTTGCCTTGAAAACACTGTGGACTGGGGCCGGCAGGTGGCATAGTGGATAGGGGCGCTGGATTCCCACATGGTCAACCACAGTTCAAGTCTCGGACCTGGTGGCTTGCTTTCTCACTTCTTCTCTCTCTCTCTGTCTCTCTCTGATCAAACTGGAAAATAATAATGATAATAATAATAAATAAAGTTAAATAAAAGAATTCTAAAAAAAACCCAAAAAAACCCAAACAACAAAAAAGTGGAGTAAGTCATGAACACAGAGCCTATGGCTGTCTTCAGAACTGTATTTCTTGTACTTGGGACAGCCTTGATGCATAGTAGGTAGGTAAGCATGTTGAAAGAATAGCTGAGGGGCCAACAGGTGGCATGGTGGTTGGGGCACTGGACTCCCACATGGCTGACCATGGTTTAAGTCCCAGGTCTGGTGACTTGCTTTCTCACTCCCCCCCCCTTCTGTTTCTCTGTGATGACTATTATAAGTTTAAAAAATATGGGGACCAACAGGTGGCATGGTGGTTAAGGCATTGGGCACTCCCACATGGCCGACCATGGTTTGAGTACCGGAGCTGGTGGCTTGCTTTCTCACTTACCCCCTCTCTCTTTCTCTCTCTCTGTGTTTCTTTCTGGTCCAATTAAAATAAGTGAATGAATAAATAAAATTTAAAAAATAGTAATAGTAATTATGATCAAATAAATCTTTTATTTTTAAGAGAGAGTTTTGCTTTGGGGCATGTGTACTTGCTGGAGAGTCAAGAGACAGAGAGACAGCTAAAAATCACACCCCCAAGGGGGAAGGCATGGTGCAATCCCTTTTCCTCCATTCTTCTGCCAAGATCTTGGGCATACACGCATATGCGTCTGGTGTGAATTTCAAGCCACCAGGTTTCGGATTCAAACCGTGGTCGGCCATGTGGTAATCCAGCGACATAGGGCTACACCATCTGCTAGCCCCTAAAATAATTCTTAAAAATAAAGAAGAGGTGAGAATGTGGTTTACAACAATCCCCACTGGAAAACCTCCTCAAGGTCATGTCCAGTGTACTGGTTCAACAGTCACTCTTCTTGGTAAGGGATAACTGATTCTGGGGAAGGTATCTTACCTAGACTGGCATGGCCCTTCTGAAGGCTTCCTATAGATAAAGCCTTGGGGGTACAGTCAAGCTAACCCCAGCTCACTGTGAAGAGGCCATCAGGGGATATGGTTATCATCAGTGCTTTGTGGGTGATGATCATTTCATTATTTAAAAAAAAAAAGGGGCTAGAGCAGGTGCGGTGGTGATTAAGGCACTGGACACTCACATGGCTGACTGCAGTTCAAGTCCTGGACCTGGCAGCTTTCTCTCTCTCTCTCTAGTGAGTACAGGAGTCCTATAGCAAGTTTAAAAATAATAACAATAAAAATTTAAAAATCCTAAAAAAATTAGTTCTGCAGTGAGTACCCACTGGCTTAATTAAATCCTTTGCTTACCATCTTCTGAAGCTTTCCCACAGCAAAATGCCTTCTTTGCTCACAGCTAGAACCTCGGGTCTATTTAAGTTTGGAAAGATCTTGAAAGCAGCTTGCCAAGAGGTTTTGTATGCAAGGAAGAGAAGGTGAATTAGGAAAGTTTCCCAGTTTGTTTTATTCTTCAAGCTTAAGTATTGAGGCATTCTTGAAGGAGAGAGCTGGACTCATTTTTAAAATGCACGATTTGATGAGTCATTGAATCCAATTGATTTGGTACGCACAACTTAATACTATTAAAATAGGGGGAAATATGAAGCATTTAGTACATTTTAGAAGGTTTATTAAGTTTAGGTATAAGGTTTGCATTTCGATCATTGTAGATAGATTAATGGAACTCGTTCTATTAATAGTTTTGTGTAGAAAACTCAATTTAATTGGTAATCTTCGGGTGGAATTGTCATTCTAGGATACACCAGCAGGTGGCGATGTGTCTGAGCAGTAGGCAAAGTGCTTGGAACCCTGATCTATTCTTTCAAAAATAAACATTACAAAATTAGCTGGCTGTGCCTTGAACTTAAAAAAATAAAAAAATCAAGCAATAAAAAGTCATCTTTGGCCTCTGTTTATCTTTTACTTTTTTTACCCTGTTCTAACGTCAGCCTTAGCTCATGCATCTATTCAGGGATAATGATCCTTTCATGAACTGTTTTGGAATGGCTTTTAGAAACAGCATTGTTAAGAGGTAATTGTTTCCTCTCTCCACTTCCACAGTTTATTAGATTTGATTTGCCACTTGATTCCCACAAAATGGCTGAAAAGTGCCTTACCACCAATACAGATTTAAGCTTAAAAGTCTGAAATAGTTGGACAGGATAAGCAGTTCAGATGTTCGCAAGCAGAACTGCAGATGTATATTGTATATGGCACCTCCACCGCCTCAAGACTAAATTAGTCAGTCATAGAACTGTAATAGACGGCAATCCAAACTTCTCTATCCAGAAGGGGAAAACAAAAGCAAAACCACCACCAAAAACACCCCATATGGGAACTCTGCACAGAGAACCAGCCATTTACTGGATAAATATGCTCTCTTCTCCAATACCATTTCTTTCGCCAAGCGTGTTAAGTCGCTATGGAAAGCACCACGCTTTTTCAGTTTGGCGAACAATACATCCTGTGCCAAGGCACAGCCTGAAAGCAGTGTTTATACCGAGGAATCCTGGCTCCACGTTCCTCAATCCCCTCTCTCCAGCCCACCCCTGCCACCAGGACGTGGGCCAGGCGGCAGGGCGGCCAGCAGGTGCCCCAGGTGAGCGGCCAAGGCCAAACCCCCCAGGAGCTGGGGTTTGCTCCAGAGGGACGCGGCCCGGACACCTAGACCTGGGCTCGCCTTCGCGAGTGAAAAGCATATCCGAAAATAAGAACACGGACACCCCGTTAAGGAGTAAAAGTTTCCGGGGGAGGGCGGCTGCGGCCCCAGGAGACTCATCGGGGACCCCTCGGGGTGAAAGCTGATTTAGGACGAGCCAGCCTCGGCTGCTCACAGGCCCCCGGCGTGGGGAACTGGGGGCCGCGGGGAGCTGGGGGAGCGACCCCGGCCTCTCCCACCTCCGAGCCCCCGCAGAACTACTTTTCCGCTCCCCGGCACGGCTGCGGCGGAGGCGTCCGGTCGGGGCGGCGCGCACCCGGCGGAGCGCGGAGGGGGGCGCGCGGGGCGG